TACAGTCTGTTAGGGATACAGTCTGTTAGGGATACGGAAAACCTCTAGTTTATTTGAATTGTCCGCTCTGTCCACTGTATACCACTGTCTGTACTGGCATTGTCTTACCACTGTATTTTATTGTTTGTATAGGTATCATTCACTCAGATTTGAAGCCATCTAACTTTCTGGTGATTGATGGTACGCTACGCCTAATTGACTTTGGGATCGCCAAGTCAATCCAGTGTGACAAGACGAGTGTTATGGTGGATACACAGGTTGGCACCCTCAACTACATGTCTCCAGAAAGCATTGTGGACTCCTGCGGGGGTGATGGTGGGGGTCGCTCCAAACCCACATATAAGGTATGTAATACAGTGCAGTTATTAGGCTTATTCTGAAGACATGGGCTTGAGTTCTGTTCAAGTCCTACAAGCGATATATATAGACGAAATCTAATTTAGGAATATCAGAAGCGGGTAACTCCATAATGGTTGAAATATTTTAACTAGTGTAACAATTTGGCCTACTACTTGCTAGTGTGAATGGCTATGTTATTTATCCAAGTAAATGACATTAACCTACTTTCTGGGTCACAGGGGTGAAAATTGTTAAAACCTTCAAACAACTTCTAAAGATCTATAAGGTCAGTGATGTTTGGTCTGTAGTTGTCTAAGATAACAGGCTGTCAAATTTGTTTAAAATAGTATCATTGAACCACACAAGTAAATTTGATTGAAATCTTCTAACAAAGGTCGATATTGTGTAAAGCAATCATTGATATTTTTGCATGTATTGTAGGGTAAGATTGCTTAAATTTGTTAGAATTTGACCTTGATATACTATGAAGATCAGAGAAGTGAGATGAGTTTTCTAATATCGTTCAGTATCAGGTGAGTCATCCTCGATACTCCAGGGGTTACGCTCACTTTCACTCTCTGCACCCCTGGAATATGTCATAGCAAAATTGAAGGCACTAAGGAAGCTGTTTGATTGGTAAAAAAAACCCTGACCAGGTTGATACCTGTCCTTTGAAGATTACAGAGGAGCGACACCCAACTTCAAAGTCTGTCAATTATACCGTTACACAACCGCAAGATTCTTTTGATGTACATCAAAGGATCGACCTAGTTTTCTTGTCTCATCAATAAGGTGGCGCACACTGGGCTTTCAATTTTGATATGACATGTTCCAGGGGTGCAGAAGGTGTAAGTGAGTGAAACCCCTGGAGTATCGAGGATGCAGGTGAGTGATAAGGCTCTTTTGACGTTTTGTTTGTTTTGTAGCTAGGTGTTAAGAGTGACATGTGGAGCCTTGGCTGTATCCTGTACTACATGGTGTATGGCCACACCCCTTTCCAGAAAATAACAAACACATTCATCAAACTTAAGGCTATCATCAATCCAGACTACCCCATAGAATTTAAGGACATTTCTGACAAAAACTTAATGGACACAATACAGGTAAGCTTCTAATACAATACAGGTAAGTGGATATGTATGATACAATACAGGTTAGTGTATATGTATGATACAATACAGGTTAGTGTATATGTATGATACAATAAAGGTTAATGTATATGTATGATACAATAAAGGTTAATGTATATGTTTGATACAATACAGGTTAGTGTATATGTATGATACAATACAGGTTAGTGTATATGTATGATACAATAAAGGTTAGTGAATATGTATGATACAATACAGGTTAGTGTATATGGATGATACAATACAGGTTAGTGTATATGCATGATACAATAAAGGTTAATGTATATGTGTGATACAATAAAGGTTAATGTATATGTATGATACAATAAAGGTTAGTGTATATGTATGATACAATATACATGTAAAGTATGGGGTTGAGGGATATAGCAAGTTTCTGGTGTCCCGAGACCAGGTCTTTTTCCCGAGCCGAAGCCGAGGGAAATAGGCATGGTCAAGGGACACCAGAAACTTGCTATATCCCTCAACCCCATACTTTAACCGTTTTATTATATCGAAACACACTGGAGAGATAGTTTTAACTAGAATATATTTGTAGCCCATAAGCTGTATAGCTTCACGTTCCAACTACCCTTCTGATGGCGCCGAATCCGATTTCGATAGCAAGCTCCCCCCACCTCGCGCATCGCTTCCGAGTACGGTAACAAGCTCCGCCCACCTCTCGCCTGATTGGCTCGGCGGAAACACCCGAGTGTAGGTGTGTTTTAGTTCCCAGACTAACACACAGGACTAAAACACAGTCAGGCAAAAGTGGGGATATATTTGATTTAACCAATTACTTTTATATAGAGTAAATAAAGTAGAGGTATAATAAAATAGTTTGGCAGGCTGTAGAGTACTAACTCTCCTTACAATGAGACTCCCACCATACTGACCACAGGGTATTATAATAGTTTGGCAGGCTGTAGAGTACTAACTCTCCTTACAATGAGACTCCCACCATACTGACCACAGGGTATTATAATAGTTTGGCAGGCTGTAGAGTACTAACTCTCCTTACAATGAGACTCCCACCATACTGACCACAGGGTATTATAATAGTTTGGCAGGCTGTAGAGTACTAACTCTCCTTACAATGAGACTCCCACCATACTGACCACAGGGTATTATAATAGTTTGGCAGGCTGTAGAGTACTAACTCTCCTTACAATGAGACTCCCACCATACTGACCACAGGGTATTATAATAGTTTGGCAGGCTGTAGAGTACTAACTCTCCTTACAATGAGACTCCCACCATACTGACCACAGGGTATTATAATAGTTTGGCAGGCTGTAGAGTACTAACTCTCCTTACAATGAGACTCCCACCATATTGACCGCAGGGTATTATAATAGGTTAACCAATAGAAGTCTATAACACATACATCTCTTTCACACACACTAAACGATCTGAGAACAGATATATTTATCACCCTATTACATACAGGTAAGCCTATCATACATTAACTTTGTTATTTCACACTTTTTGTGGATGGATTTAAATATAATGTACATCATACAGCTGGCATTATTGACAAATATCCTCATGAATTAAAAGGTGAAAGACAACTAAATTTGCATTCCATTCATTTTAAATCAGTTTACTGTTAAGGTGCCATACAGATCTGACAAAATTGAAAAATCACATGAGATAATCCTGTCAGATGTTGTTTTATGTACCCTGTGAAATACCCTTGCTTCTGATTGAGATTAAAAATCTCCTGTTTTTGATTTCCAGAGATGTCTGATACGGGAACCAAGAGACCGTGCCAGTATAGAGGACCTTCTAACACACCCCTACATCACAAACCTGGATAGGGGTACATACTCATTCTTTTTAAAATGTAACATGGATATGATAGTCATACAGGAGGATTTCAAAAGCCTTGATTATCATTAATGTCTAATAATTTGAAATAACTATTAATTATATTATGCATTATACATTGGGTAACATACAGATTTAAGCAATACTTCAAGAATTCAATATTCATTTTTCCTGTTGCAACTTCATTAGCATGAATTATGTAGGTGTCTGCACTTTAGGCAATGCTAATATCTCATATTTAAATACTTTTCACTTGTGTATTTTATCAAAATATTTGGGTATACTTGTTTTGATGGTTATAGTTTTTGTTCACAGTGGACCAGGAGACTGCGCCCAAACTAGACTGTAAAGATGACCATTTAGAGCGCCTTGTCAAACAGTTGTCCACTAAGTTTGCCTCGTCACCTTCCGGTATCCGTTCCATGGTGCAGAGTGCTATGAAGGTACATGACTCAGACAAATGAGGCATCCTGTAAACAAAGTAATAAGGCAACCTGTATGTTAAACCAACAATAATCTACAGGAACTGATCATAGTCCAGACCAGTTCCTGTTTTGGGGTGATTTATAATCCAGTATTGCCACTGTAGCCACCATCTTGAAATCTGTTTTGAGCTAAATCTCAATTTCTACTGATTTGCTAAAACTTGGTGGCAAATATCTGTTTATGGGCCAGACAAATTGTTTTTGATTTGTAGCTGATTGAAAATCCAATGGGACTGCATCTTGAAATTCTTTTTTAACCCAAGTGCTTTTACAATGTCTGTTCAACATGTTCCAGACTAAGAGTAAGTTCAAAGACGAGCAAATCCAAGCTTCATTATAACTTATAATGAGGCACTCTGGTGGACAGTTTTCACACAATTACTATAAAATAAAAAAATTACTGGATTTTGATGATTTGTTTTCGATACTTGTGTTATTCCAAGACAGTTGAAGTTGAACAAAATCTGTGCATGGCATTGGATGGGCGTATACTGTTTTGTTTCTGCAGTACTTTTGTTACTATAAATTAGGCCATTTTCACATGGTTGATAAGAAGTCCCTATCAGAGATGATTGGAAATGATAACACATTAATGAGTTTATTCCAACACTCAAAATAATGATATTACTTGTGGATGACACATGTTGATATTTGTTTTGCAGGACTCAACGTGAAGCAACAAGCTGGATGTGTAAACAGACAATACTTTTGAGATGGATATTCAGCATTCGTGGAGCTTGAGTTCTGCCAGCATTGGAATGGATTAAATGTGATATTGAACATTCTCTCCTCAACATTTAATGGTTCACACTACTGCTGTAGACCCTGGACATGTAATGGTCCACACTAATGCTGTAGACCCTGGACATGTAATGGTCCACAATACTGCTGTAGACCCTGGACATGTAATTGTCCACACTACTGCTGTAGACCCTGGACACGTAATGGTCCACACTAATGATGTAGACCCTGGGCATGTAATGGTCCACACTAATGCTGTAAACCCTGGACACGTAATGGTCGACACTAATGATGTAGACCCTGGACATGTAATGGTCCGTACTAATGCTGTAGACCCTGGACACGTAATGGTCCACACTACTGCTGTAGACCCTTGACATGTAATGGTCCACACTACTGCTGTAGCCCCTGGACATGTAATGGTCCACACTAATGATGTAGACCCTGGGCATGTAATGGTCCACACTACTGCTGTAGCCCCTGGACATGTAATGGTCCACACTACTGATGTAGACCCTAGACACGTAATGGTCCACACTAATGATGTAGACCCTGGGCATGTAATGGTCCACACTAATGCTGTAGACCCTAGACATGTAATGGTCCACACTAATGATGTAGACCCTGGGCATGTAATGGTCCACACTACTGCTGTAGCCCCTGGACATGTAATGGTCCACACTACTGCTTTAGACCCTGGACATGTAATGGTCCACAATACTGCTGTAGACCCTGGACATGTAATGGTCCCCACTAATGCTATAGACCCTGGACATGTAATGGTCCACAATACTGCTGTAGACCCTGGACATGTAATTGTCCACACTACTGCTGTAGACCCTGGATATGTAATGGTCCACACTAATGCTGTAAACCCTGGACACGTAATGGTCCACACTAATGCTGTAGACCCTAGACATGTAATGGTCCACACTACTGCTGTAGACCCCGGACAGGTAATGGTCCACACTACTGCTGTAGACCCTGGATATGTAATGGTCCACACTAATGCTGTAAACCCTGGACACGTAATGGTCCACACTAATGCTGTAGACCCTGGACATGTAATGGTCCCCACTAATGCTATAGACCCTGGACATGTAATGGTCCAGACTAATGCTGTAGACCCTGGACATGTAAGGGTCCACACTAATGATATAGACCCTGGACATGTAATGGTCCACACTAATGCTGTAGACCCTAGACATGGAATGGTCCACACTACTGCTGCAGACCCTGGACATGTAATGGTCCACACTAATGATGTAGACCCTGGACATGTAATGGTCCACGCTACTGCTGTAGACCCTGGACATGTAATGGTGCACACTACTGCTGTAGACCCTGGACATGGAATGGCCCACACTACTGCTGTAGACCCTGGACACGTAATGGTCCACACTACTGCTGTAGACCCCGGACAGGTAATGGTCCACACTACTGCTGTAGACCCTGGACAGGTGCTTTGTTAATGCTGATTGTTATGTCTCTTGTCGTTTCACCACTACTTCTCTGTTGATATTTGTTTAAACTATTTGTGTTCATTACTCGGTTCATCTTTGCTTCGTCTGACATACTGAGAGTTGCGGTTACTCTATAGTTGTGTGGATAGTCAGCTAGTTCCGATCACATTTTATTTTCAATTTCAGTCCTTCAGGTCGGGGGGGGGGGGGGCGGGGATTTTATCCGAGAGTTACAACTGAAGAGTACTCTACATGAATTTAGGTTAAACAACCATCTGGATATTGGCAATACAATTTCACTGTTTGTTGCATCAATTACGAGCGCCTTGATGATCGGAAACTGGTGACCCCAGTCTGCGAATAAACTGTATGTGGTAAGCTATGTTGTATATTTTTAATTTCTGTTTCAGCGAATTAATCTTTTTAAGCATGCAAATTAAGACTTCACAAGAATAAGTTCATCATTTTGAGTATTTAATTGGTAATTGGTAAAATTCTTTTACATCATGTATTTATATAAGATGTCTACTTAACAGTTGTTTATTGTGTCAAACTCAAGAGGCCTCTACTAGCCAAGCTGTCAGTCTGTAAAACCCAAGAGGCATCTACTAGCCAATCTGTCAGGCTGTAAAACCCAAGAGGCCTCTACTAGCCAAGCTGTCAGTCTGTAAAACCCAGGAGGCCTCTACTAGCCAAGCTGTCAGTCTGTAAACCCAAGAGGCCTCAACTAGCCAAGCTGTCAGTCTGTAAAACCCAAGAGGCCTCTACTAGCCAAGCTGTCAGTCTGTAAAACCCAAGAGGCATCTACTAGCCAATCTGTCAGGCTGTAAAACCCAAGAGGCCTCTACTAGCCAAGCTGTCAGTCTGTAAAACCCAGGAGGCCTCTACTAGCCAAGCTGTCAGTCTGTAAACCCAAGAGGCCTCAACTAGCCAAGCTGTCAGTCTGTAAAACCCAAGAGGCCTCTACTAGCCAAACTGTCAGTCGGTAAAACCCAAGAGCCTCTACTAGCCAAGCTGTCAGTCTGTAAAACCCAAGAGGCCTCTACTAGCCAAACTGTCAATCTATAATGTACATAGTTACACATGCTTTCTTACAATACAATCATTGTTTTTTAGGTTTCCTGACCATAGGTCATGGTAACCTATTGTGATAGTCTTTTGTCCGTCGTCGTGAGTTAACTTTTTCTTGTGAACACGATAACTTCAGTAAATGTTAACAGAGTTTGATGAAACTTTGTATGCAGCCATATATCAATAAGATCTCGGACGAGTTCGAAAATGGGAATTATTCGACTGTAACTTACAGAGTCATTGCCCTTTGTAATAATATTATTACACTATTTTGTATTGGACCTTGTGTTCACGATAACTTGGGTAAATATCAACCAAGTTTAATGAATCTCTGTATGTAGCCTTATATCAATAAGATCTTGGATGAGTTCGAAACTGGGAATTATTTGACAGTAACTTATAGAGTTATTGCCCTTTGTAATAATATTATTATTGGACCTTGTAAACACGATAACTTGAATAAATGTTGACGGAGTTCAATGAAACTTTGTCGGGTAATTATTTGACGGTAACCTGCAGAGTTATTGCCCTTTGTCATTATATTATTATTTGTCCCTTTGATGTTGATTGTCATTACACAAGAATAGATGTAAATTCATGTTTAAAACTTATTTTTTCATTTACGACTTATTTTTGCTACTAACAAGGTGCTATTAAAATTTTGTGCCTTATTTAATAAATCATTGATTTACGCTTTTACTTGTTTCTTTTAACCAAGAACAGAAGATATACAGTTACCAAGTTTGTTCAAAACAGACCCCTTGGGTCAAAATTGGAGTCACACCCATTTATTTCAGTTATCGTGTTCACAGGGTCCAACAATAATAGAATTACCAAGGGGAATAACTATGTAAGATATGGTCAAATCTGTCCGGTATTCAAACTCATCCAAGATCTCATTGATACAAAGCTGCATACAAAGTTTCATCAAAATCGGTTCATATTTACTGAAGTTATTGTGTTCACAAGGAAAAATTAATGGACGATGAAGCAAGGTCACTCGGACCGACGAAAAGTATGAATTGGCCCCTGGATGACAGTCCTAATTTGAATCGGATGTCAAGTGACCGTTAAGGGCCATGGGCCTCTTGTTTTATAATATGTCAGTTAGTAAACATTGTAAGACTGTTCCTTTTTTTGTCTTGTTATACACATAGAAGTAAGAGGTGTTTTGTGTACTCCAGTGGTTCAAGATGTTAACACTATCAACAGGAGGTGCATATGTTTACATTTAATAACAGGAGCGTCAAATGTTTACACTGTTAGTGTTAATAGGGGGTTCACATGTTTACACTCGCATTGTTAACAGGGGGTTCACATGTTTACACTCGCATTGTTAACAGGGGGTTCACATGTTTACACTCATTGTTAACAGGGGGTTCACATGTTTACACTCGCATTGTTAACAGGGGGTTCACATATTTACACTATTAACAGGAGGTTCACATGTTTACACTATTAAAAGGGGGTTCAAATGTTTACACTTATAACAAGGGGTTCACATGTTTACACTAATAACAGGGGGTTCACATGTTTACACTATTAACAGGGTGTTCACATGTTTACACTTATAACAGGAGGTTCACATGTTTACACTATTAAAAGGGGGGTTCAAATGTTTACACTATTAACAGGGGGTTCACATGTTTACACTAATTACAGGGGGTTCACATGTTTACACTAATAACAGGGGGTTCACATGTTTACACTATTAACAGGGGGTTCACATGTTTACACTATTAACAGGGTGTTCACATGTTTACACTAATAACAGGGTGTTCACATGTTTACACTTATAACAGGAGGTTCACATGTTTACACTATTAAAAGGGGGTTCAAATGTTTACACTATTAACAGGGTGTTCACATGTTTACACTAATAACAGGGTGTTCACATGTTTACACTAATAACAGGGGTTCACATGTTTACACTAATAACAGGGGGTTCACATTTTTACAGTATTAACACAAAGTTCAAACACTCACTCTTTATTCCCCCTTTTCTTTCTCTCTCTTTCCCTCGCTCTCTCACACACTTTTGTTTACACTCACATTTTATCTCTAATCTTTTTTCACTCTCTCTTTTTCTAAGACAACTCACACATGTATAGACGATCATGTTTTGTGTATGTTTCCTGTTATATCCGAACTATTTTATTGTTGTATAAATTATTATATGTACAGCAATCTAACTGTTATATCTAGCAGATGCTTGTTTTACCTTGGAAGTAATTGTCCAAATGATATAAACTACGTCATATCAGGACTAGGCTGAAATCATGAAAGGTCTCCCAGATATGGTTCTAACAAAACAAGATTATTTTTTTTTTCTTTCCTTTAATGTGGATTTATTCCAACCACATACATGTTTTACTGTCAAAATAGTGCCCAGTGGCCACACTGTCATATCTTGTTAGGATTGTTTGATGGAAACTATTGTAAGGAGAAGTATAGCTACTTTTATGTTACAG